CGCCTTGCTGGTACTCGGAGCTCGGTTTCTGGCTGAGTTTCAGCCGCACCCGCCCCGGGGCCTGTCGGTCTGGGGTCCCGGAGCCGTGCCGAGCAGCCAGGAGCCGGTGTGAGCTGAGGGCCAGCGCCCTCTGAGCTAGTCCCTCACCTGGGCGTGCTCGGGTCCTCCACTCCATCCCTTCAGCTTGTGCTGGCCATGGGCTGTCGAGTGCAGAGGTGGGCACTGGCCTTGGCGAGCAGTGGCTGGCCCGGGCTGGGGCTGGGGCTGGGGCTGGCTCTGCTCGTGGGTGTTCCTGTGGCCACAGCATCTCTGCGAGTGCAGCTCAGCACTCTGAATGGAGCAGGAACAGCAAACAGTGACCTAAACACTGTGCTCTGTGCCCATCGTTCTGATGAGAGAAGAGAGCTCCTCTTGGGTCAGTGCCCTGTAAGTCTGTAGATGGCTTAAGCAGCACTGAACAGTGAGAGGTTCCAGCAAAGAGCATTTTCCTTCTAGCCAAATAATGAGTTCTCTCATTTGGAGATGGTAAGAAAGAGGAGGCTTTAGAAAAGCAGTGTGTGACTAAAAATCAGGAATTTGAACAACCAGTGTCACGTGCTTTTCAGTCCTGCCTGCTTGGGGGAATAGAGCTCTGCAGGGAGAGAGCAAAGGTGGAGCTGTGGGCAGCAGAGCCCAGGGCACTGCCCAGCCTGGTGCCCACCAGCAGCCCCCTCACAGAGTGCTGCTGAGCCAGCAGCTCACCTCCGTGGGTCTGTTCACCCCAAAGACAGGGGGACAGCAGTGAATGTTGATAACACACCAAAGGCTGGAACTCCACTGATGAAGTGGCCCTTTTTGAACACAGCTCTGGGGTCCCCTGGTTTAAAGCACTGTGTGATGTTATTGGTTTTCCTCTTGTAGTGTTTGGTTTTATCTGAGTCCTGGGCAGAGCTGGATAATATTTGTGAGAAACAAACCATTAGCATTGCAGTTCTGATTTACAAATAGTTGCTTACTCAAAATTCCTGTGACTGGTTCCTTTCCCCTGTGCTGCTTCTTGTGCAATACCAGACTTCAGCTCGTCAGCGGGAGCCTGGAGGTGACTGTCATTTCACAACCAGGCATCTGACTGTCTGGAGCTTAGCTGACAGTTCCCCAGGAATTCATTCTCGAAATAGATATCTTTTTAGGTAACCCATCTGGTTTGGCTCAGCTCCTGGGAGTGGTTGTTTACTCCAGGAGCCTCAGAGCATGGCAGAGGAAAAGCTGGAGTGCAGACAGCGTTACGGTTCCCTACCCGATACCCAGAGCAAAGGCAGCACAGCAGGAGAACCAGCCTGGCTGCTAACCAGCACCAGCAGTTTCACTACAGAAAGATTTCAAACGTCTTTCCAAGCCAAAGCGTGCTGTGGCAAACCCGTGTTGAGAATGCCAAGGATTAAATTCAGGCTGTTTTGTTGCTGGGAATGGCCTCATGTGACAGGCTGCAGCAGCGTCCGTAGCACAGGTCCCTTTGGGTCCCTTTGGGTCCCTTTGGGTGGCTTGGCAGCGTGTTGAAATCAACACTTAACTGGCAGTCCGAGAGCTGTTGTTGAAGAAGGCTGTTTATTATCCCTCTCAATTCCTGTGCAATTTAAGACTAAGCTAAAATCAAATGTTTGTTAAAGTCGGCAAGCATTAAAGCAACTGTTTGTTAGATAAGGAAGTGCTGACGTCAGGGTCAGCTTGTCCTGCTGGTCTCAGTTTGCCTGCAGCTGTAAAAAGGTCACAGGATGAAGCAGATCTTCATGTATCATCATAGAGGTATGAGATATCATATGAGAGAGAGGGAGATTTGTGTGTTACACACATAACCTGTATCAGTGTATTATCAGCAGTGTATCAGGCCCCCCCAGCAGCCTGGGCTGCCCCCCCAGCAGGGTGGGCAGCAGGGCAGGGAGGGGATCCTGCCCCTCTGCCAGCTCTGGGAGACCCCCCTGCAGTGCTGGGGCAGCTCTGGAGTCCTCAGCACAGCAGAGCCAGGGAGCTGCTGGAGCGGGGCCAGAGGAGCCCCAGCAATGCCCCGAGGGGGGAACCCCTCTGCTGGGAGGCCAGGCTGAGTTGAGGTGGTTCAGCCTGAAGAGATGACCTCAGGCAGCCCTTCTGGTGGCCTTCCAGTACTTAAAGGGGGCCTGTAAGAAAGACAGAGGGACTTTCACAAGAGCCTGTAGTGGCTGGACGAGGGGCAGTGGTTTTAAACTGAAAGAGGGTGGGTTTGGGTTGGACATAAGGAAGACATTTATTATGAGGATGGTGAGATACTGGACCAGGTTGCCCACAGAAGATGTGGATGTCCCATCCCTACAAGCATTGTTAGTCAGGCTGGAGAGGGCTTTGAGCAACCTGGTCTGGTTAAAGATGCTTATGGAAGAGGGGTTGAACTGGGTGAGCTTTGAAGGTCCCTTCCAACTCTAACCATTCTGAGATGTGATCCACAGCTTGGCTCTGTCCTACATCACAGCAGGAGCAGCAGAAAGATGCAGGCAACTCCCTAAGGTCCATTTTATGGGAGATGTGATCTGTGCAAGTGTCTTGGGATGAGTTGGGCTGCAAAGGGTATGTAAGTGGGAAATCTTTCAAGGGGCACCTGTTTCCAAGTGCCTTGGAGGACTGAGTTTTCAAGGATTTTCAGGCAGAAGTAGAAGCTCCAGAACACGTGCTCTTCTCATGCAAGCTCTTATCCCTGCTCAAATGTGAGATTTCTGTAGCCTGGCTTTTCCAAGACCTTTATGCCCCAGCTTGGGTCTCAGGGATCAGCATGTTCCCAGAGTTCCTCCTTGTTAAGCTCCTGCCAAACTCACTGAAAGTGGTCCTTTCACACTCATATAGTTTTGGGTTGGGTTGGGGTTTTTTTGTTTGTTTGTTTGTTTGTTTTAAATTTGATTCTGTCAATTTTCTCAGAAAAGTTCTGGAATAAAGGATCTGGACCCATCTTTTTCTATACTGGCAATGAAGGTGACATCTGGACTTTCGCTCAGAACTCTGACTTCATGTTTGAGCTGGCAGAGGAGCAGCAAGCACTGGTGGTTTTTGCTGAGCACGTGAGTATTTTAGTTATTATGCATATTATAGAGTCCTATTCTTTCAGTATTACTGAATTCAGTTTGCTGCTGGTCTGGAGAAATAATATCTCTTGCCATGAAGCTGAGCTCTACCTGTTGTGAGGTTTCTCCTCACAGTGGCAGTTTTCCTTCACTTAGCCACGGCTTCTGAGTTTTGACTCTGCCCAGCAGCACACAGACTGCTCCAGTCAAACCTAGGCCATGGGGTGTCTGTTGTAGAACAGGGCTTTTGTCAGTAGTTTCTTCAGGCCATGAACTCCACACTGGAGCAGAGAGTTACTTTGCTTGGGTAGTATTTAATCTCTGGAGCCTGCAAAGCCCCAGGCCAGCCTTTCTCACACCACTCTATTAACCAGCCCACAACTTATGCATGGAGAGATTGCCCTGGTCCCTTTTCTGGTTGGGGATTTCAGGACAGACACGTGCTGAGGGCCCACTTGGCACTCAGTGAAGTAGCTTGTCATGGACTCTCCATCCTCTGCAAGGTACATCCTGAAGGTCTCTGTGTATCAGATGCAGGAGACAAGCCCCTTCCTCAGTTATGAACAAGGGAGAGGACAGCACGTTCCTGCTTCTTGTGCCCTGATCCCAGTTGTGTAGTGAGGACCAGTTCCACAGTGACACCAGCACTCCCACAGATGTCTCTTTCCTTTCAGAGGTACTATGGGAAGTCTCTCCCCTTTGGACTCGAGTCCCTGCAGCTGCAGAAGACATCCCTGCTCACCGTGGAGCAGGCCCTGGCCGACTACGCCGTGCTGATCACTGAGCTGAGGCAGCAGTGTGGTGCTGCAGCCTGCCCTGTCATTGCCTTTGGAGGCAGGTAAAGCTTTCACAAGCTCCTTCCCTTCTCTGCAGCCTTTCCCAGCCACAGTCGTGCTATTCTCATAGATCTGTTTGGCTCTCAAACAAGTTCTAAAGGCAGAGCCTTAAGCCATCTGACAGAGAGATGTCTGTGCCTGAGCTCCCCAGAGCTCACCACCAGGCCCCAGTCAGCTCTCCCATCACTAATTAGTCTCAATTTGTGATTGCTTTGGAGAGCCACCACTGACTGGCTGTTTCTAGGCATCTTCAATGTATGAGCCAGGCAGAACTGCAGAAAATGGGAAATTCCTTCTGCTGGGTAAGACCATTTTACATCAGAAATACAGAAAACTAATAACTGGTAAAATATTCTTCCCAGGGGCCATCCTGCTTTTTATTAAACACAATGTCTTCAGCATCCAGCCATTTTCACTGTAGGCCCCTTGCTAATCCTGCTCTGCAGCCTGCTGCTTGGTTGCTCCTGGTTTCCCAGCAGAGGTCCCTGCCCAGAGTGCTGGCTCTGCCAAGCCCAGAGCTGTGTCCATGGCATGTCCTTGTCCCACGGCCACCCAGGCCTGGCCCCTGGCTCCCCACCCCTACAGCAGAGGGATGCTGCCCTTCCAAAGGCTTCCACCAAGCACAGGCCTCCCAGTCCCCTGGCAGTGAGCATTTCACCTGATAGTCCTTGAGCTTCCAGCTCACTGGGGTGGAGATTGGGCTGTTGATCTCAGGGGTGTTTGCACGGCCAGTAGCTGGTGTAAAGAGGGCCAGGACCTGTCCTGGAGTGAGGAGACTGGGAAGGGATTCAGCACAACCTGCTGGCTGGGCTGCCTGCTAGACTCCAGCTCTGTGTGTAGGTGAGTTCAGTCTGCAGCAGCCCTGGACCAAAACCACGTGGAGGATTCTGAAATACAGCAGTGTGGAAGCAGCACAGTATTTCCCATGGGAAGGGAAGGAAAAAAAAAACACAATCAGTCTGTTGCTTACAACTTTGCCAAAGTCTAACCCAAAATGACTTGTGGTGGGCTGCAGCTCAGCCCTGTTTCCAGGCTGGGGTGAGAAACCCACACTGCTTTCTGTGTGGGTGATGTGGGACGGTGTCTGCTGCCAGCACTGGGGGGTTGGGGAGGGAGACTGGAGTCCCTCTAAGCTCAGGGGCAGACCAGGTGTTACTTTGCATTTTGGGGTTGTCATTTGCCAAGCCCAGGAGCAACCTTGGGGTGACTCTGCAAACGTTGGCCTATGAGTAACTTGTCACCTTGGCAGCACCTGGTATGTCTGCAGCTTGTGGCCCTGGCACTGAAGCTGCCAAGCTGGCTTTGAGTTTGAACTTGTTAATGTTTCCCCCTCCCTGTATCTGTGCTGATCATCTGTAGCTGTTATTTGGGGTGCCCAGGAGGAATACTCTCCCCTTCCCAGCACTGGAGAGGGAATGCTGCACGTTCTGTCGTGTTCAGGGCCACCCTCTGCTGAGGGCCCAGCTAGTCTGTGTGCAGAGTGTGTCCTGCCCTCCCTGAGCAGTGCCAGCTCCAGCTGAGCCCCCCCTGGTCCTGCACTGCAGCTCTCAGGACATACTCAGGATGGTGCAGGGTTAAATACTGAGGCAGGATTTACATTTGGCTGCAGAAACAACCTGGGCTTGTGTTCCCACTGGAGCTGGTGTCAGCATTTGGGGAGTGGGCAGTATGGACACGCTGTGTGCTGCCCATGGACCATAACTGGACCTTTTGCCATGAGGATGGCATCTGCTAGATACCCACAAGCTTCTTGTTGCCTTGGGTTAGGTGAGCCTGTGGATGCTGGCCTGAATCATGGAATCATTAAGGTTGGAAAAGGGCTCTAAGATCATCAAGGCCAACCATCAGCCCAACCCCCCCATGACCACTAAACCATGTCC